GGTCACAAGCTGGCAGAGGGTAGATTCAGGCTAGATATCAGGAGGCGTGACTTCACTGTCAGGGTGGCTAGGATCTGGAACCAACTTCCAAGAGAAGTGGTGCTGGCTCCTACCCTGGGGGGCTTTAAGAGGAGGTTGGATGACCACCTCGCTGGGGTCGTTTGACCCCAGTACCCTTTCCTGCCATGGCAGGGGGTCGGACTCGATGATCTGCTCAGGTCCCTTCCGACCCTACCAACTATGAAACGGGGCCCCTTTGTCTGAAGGGTCAAGTCTGACACCTGTAGATGAGGAAGAAGCTATGGTGGAACAAGCAAGACCAAGGCTCAGTCTGACTCTAGGTGAAAAATAAAAATGGGGCTCTTTTAGGCTACCAAAAACCACAGGGCCAAGCTCAAGCTCTCCTTTTTCCCTTCTGCTAATAGGCAATGACAAAAATTAACCAGGAAAAATGGAGGGGAAAAACCTAGAAAAGTTACTATCCTGCTAAAAACCCCCAAATGGACAGAAAGTGGTTGTCTGGCCAGACAGACTACAGTATGCAAGACCACAGAAACTCTCCCCAGGAAGAGACAGCTGAAAGGAAATGAGGAGCAGGAAGCATGCACCACCCTGTATACGCCCTTAGTGCTGAACGTAAGGAAGAGGAGGACACGTGCACACTGTATGGGTATTGCTCAGGACAAAAAGGTGTCTGAGACTGAGCACGTGTACAGGGCACGGCAAGTTGAAACGTGGCACTGCTCCGCAAGTGCACGACCTGCACGGTGTACTACTAAATTGCATTCATTTCTATTACTCCAGTCCTCAAAGGCATTTAACTTTTCTTGTATAATATTGTTCTGCCTCTGTACAAACAACATCTCCCAAACGTGTCATAAAATCCAGATTCTTTTGTATTCACTTTTTGTGGTAATATGCTGAATGAACATATTAATGCCTAAGCTCAAACCACAATCCTTGAGCAATTCCTAATAACCACTTCCTACCCTCACATTTTCCTAATCAGCATGACCCACTGTAGTCTCACTACTTGGATTGAAATCAGTTATAGTAATGCAATATTCTCCTCCCTTCCCTCCCCCAAAAAAGATAATCTGGTGTCGCCAGCCTTGGCCTAGGCCACGGTACAGAAGTGTGCCCAAGCAGAAGGCCCTAAGGTCTGTTTCTGAGAGACCATGGCACGAACCTTTGCAGATGGGACAATTAGCTTCATCAGCAAAGTAAAGGAAGCCATCTACACGTCTAAGTAAACCAGTAATGAGACGAAATTAAACAAAGCATAAGGACTGTAAAGAGACATTATAAAGGGAAGACCATACATTAAACAATCTAAATACGCTATATGATAGCTTTATCTTAAACAAGTGGTAGTACCGACTGATGTAACCGAATGTATTAGACGTTATTTTGCTGTAATTGCTATGTTTTTGTTAAGATGCTTAGGTCACTTGTAAAAAACTAAACAGCCTCGTCAAAAAAGACCATAACTAAGATAAGGAAAAAACAGGACAGTACTGAACAGCACTGCACAATGGGGAAGGAAAGGAGATAAGAAATTCTCCCTTTTACTTTCCCAAGGATAGAAACTCACTAGGGGGGACCAGGAGGGTTTGGGAGAGACCTGGTTTCCCCTGGCGGCCCCCCGGCATGACAAGGAATAACGGCCACAAGTTGCTGGAGAGGAGGTTCAGATTAGACATTCGTAACAACTACTTCACAGTCAGGGCAGCTAGGACCTGGAACCAACTTACAAGGGAAGTGATGATGGCTTCTACCCTGGGGGTCTTTAAGAGGAGGCTTGATGCCCACCTGGCTGGGATCGTTTGAGCCTAGTTTTTTCTCCTCCCCAGGCAGGGGGTCGGACTTGAAGATCTACAAGGTCCCTCCCGACCTGACTTCTATGAATCTATGATGAAATCCCAACTAACTGACACCTTCCATTTGCACAAGAGATCTGTTTCAGTCCAGTTCCAACAGCTCCACTGAAACAAAGACATTTAAATAAAACCAAGCAGAGGCCATTTATTAAAATATCAGAACCAGCCACCTACATATATAGGGACTCGGCTGGAGGGAAATTTGGAAAACTTGGCAAATTCAGCCAATCTGCATGCCACCCTCCTCCAATCTCAAGGAGGGTACCCAGCTGGTAGAGGTGAGAATCTATGTTGTGCTGTCAAGGGGAGACAGATGGACTTTGGAATAAATGCTTGTTTTCGTGTTTTGAAGTGCAAGCGAATAAAAGGTTTGGGCTATAGACCCATTTCTGCCTTTTTTTTTTTTTTTTTTTTTTT